CAGAGTTTATCCGTATCTGTATCAGTATCCCAGGGGAAGGTGCAGGTGCTCACCTAAACGAAGGGGAAGAACACCCTCCTGTTCGGAGCAAGACTCGTTACAAGCAGCCGCTTGTTACTCGGAGCTCCAAGCAGCTGCTCTAACCAACACAGAAGCCAACACATTTTGCTGAAGTATGAGACAACCCCAGTCAGTCAATTATCCAGGGAAACAATCTCCGAGCTGACAGTGCACCCTGTAACCTTTCACACCCAGCAGCGACATGCTCAACAGTTCATTCCTGCCTTTTTAATAGACCAGGACTCCACCACCCTTAGACTGGGATATTAGATTAGCCCTTAGATTAGCCTTATGGGTGATACCCAAACCTTACAGCTACCAGCGAAATCAAAATTTCTGAACATTGGCTCTTGCTCTCTGGACAGATCAAGACTGTTGAGGCTCCTTACCTGAATCAGGTGTTGGCCTGTTACAGAGCTCAGCGTGCGGCTCACACAGGTCACCAGATTCAGACATCTGCACATCCAGGCATGTCAATATCGGCGGAAAAGCATTCCCCAAGGCTCAGGTGCAATCCCTTCCCAAGGGAAGGTGGCTGAACACTGATCTGTTGAGCAGATCATCTCTTCTGCTAACGCGGTCATGAATCTGCATGTGCTTATCTTGCTGTTTAACGAAGCATCAAACACCTACTTATGTGACACAAGATTGCTGCTCGTGCATTACCAAAGTGAAACGCAGGTGAGAAACTGTTTGCCTACACAGTGTTTTTTTTTTTAAATCCTCTGAGGTGTCAACTCTTGTAACGTTCAAGAAAAATTCAGTGAACAGCTTATATAATCCTTCCCCCCCCCCAAGTTGAAAAGTAATTATAAATCAATATATCCCTTGAGTTTCCAGGCAGTTTCAGACCTTCCTTTCTACTCATCTGTTAAAATGAGCTTTTATTCAGAGTAATTGCACATTGATTCTGCTACTATAAATACTGTGTATATGTACACATCTTATACTTAAAAATGTGTTTTTTTGACAAAAATGGATCATTATTAGGCTGAGTAGCAGTAGTAGCGGTATCACTATCTTCTTTCCAGGAAAAGCTCATTCTACATCCTCTTGAGGCCAGCAGACAGTTCCCTCTGTTCAGGTACTACTTTGAAGACCACTGTCAGAGGTCATGAGAGTCACAACATGCTCTAAGTGATGTGCAAACCAAAAAGATGCTTTAAGCTTCTTTGCTCCTTTTTGTCATCTTAAAATAAGGACACTAAATTAGAAACCCTTATTTTCAGCAGATCTGTATTTCACACATGTGGAGATGGTTAAGTGCGGTAAGTCAGAGAACTAGGATGATAAATTATCATTCCCTCTGTCAGCCATACTTCTGCCCATCTAAGACTTGAAAAATTCCAAAAGTCTTAATATCTTTGCAGAGATGCCCAGGGCTAGACAGACAAGACTCACTATTGGTCTGCTTGTTCCACATGAAAAATGTCTTTATTTTCAAGGCTGATTACTTTGAGGACCTTTATTATCACTGACGTTTCTTTCCTTTATCATCTTCTCGTGCTCCAAAAAGGGGATGCACAAGAAGATACTTGGTTTTATCTTGTTACATTATGCACCGTAACATGAAACACATTTTCTGAAATGTGTTTACACAAGATTTTGTTACATATGCGACCACACTGATTCTAGTCACTAAAAAGCTTTTTCACTAGCTTGAAAAAAATAAATTAATTACTGCTATATTAACACTTTCTTCACAATTTCACTGATAGATAATAAACTTAGGTAGAAGGTTTAAGGGCATTCCACTACTGAGCTATCCTTCTGCAAATATCAAACCCCATGACTGTCTTGGAAATGAAAGACCAATTAAAAAATCCACATCAAAATAAATATTCTCAAGCCCGCTTCCTTGCATGTTTATCAACAGGACTGTATCCATGCTGCCAATCATAGTTGTGTGGAATGGCCACATAAGGCAGCAAGAGCATCATCCATCTTCGTTTGTCATTTTGGACTTTTGTTGTCATAATTTAGTGTTTATGCACACTCTTGCATAGAACAAGAGACCGATCACAAGACAGAGACCCCACCGCACTGTTGTTACATGTAAATACTGCTATAACCTCTGTGGGAAATAAAGCCATTGGACGCAATTAGATAAAGTTTTGACAGATGCTTTTCTTTGTGCTTTGTGTAGAGCTGCTCCATTCAGTGAAGAATTTAAGAATGTAGTTTGTGATGGAGCACATCATGTCACCCTTCAAGCTTACGTGTTTTGGTTTTTTATGTTGAACGAAAATATGGGTAATGAAAGAAAAAAAAAAGAGACCTAGACCTGTATCATGGCAACCCAGGAACCTGAAACCATTCCTTAGCCTACAAGTAAAAACTAAATGAACAGTATATTTCAGGGTTAGATTTATCAGAAGTTCTATTTCCCTGAATAATTTTAATGCCTGGTATTTATGGAACCCACAAACTGCTTCACATTGCTAAGAAAAATTATTAGTGCTGTGGAAGAAACATTTTACCCTGATGAATTCAGTGAAATAGTACAGTACTAGCATTTCACAGGAATTGTCATTATTATCTTCAGGAAAGCAACCACAAAAAGCCTTGCAACTATACCCTGAAGAGACAGATGTTTTAATCAGTGTTTACAGGCACATTTATCCAAATTTTTTTCTTCTAAGCTTATGTCAACTTAAAACATACATGAATCTGTGGCATTAATAACCGCAAAAAGGCTGTGGAAATGTAGGAAGTTAAAAATTTTTGTGGTTCCTTGTAAAAGTTTGTAGAGTTTCTGGGCCAAAATTATTTTACCGAATTTATGAAGATGCCCGTACAGGTTATCGATCAGGTTCTCAATCTTTCATCCTCCTGCTCCTGGTGTGTTTTGCACAGCTACAGACTCTGGGGATTCTGGGGCTGTTAAAGGATTATGAGAAACAGTTCCTATGCAGAGCCCAGGTAAAGAAAAAGCCAAACTAACACTGGGGATTACATCAATCTGTAATTTAAAGATCTTCAAGGCACGGCAGTGGTGGAGCTCAGTATCTCCATCAAAATTATAAACTTAAGACCTGCTGCTGATCTAATATCCAATATCTAATAGCTCCACTGACATCAACTGTGTATTTCTAAGTAAATACATAAATTTAGGTTTTGAAAAAGTAATTTACACTAAAGCAAATGTAAAGTAAATAAAAATGTCTCGTTGAATGGAAACATGAGACATCACAATAAATAAATGTTATTAGGTCCATATAAGAGTTCATTATTTAAAACTCAAGTTACTTGTATACCCACTAGTTAAAAATTAGTGCTACCTGAGTATTAAAGATAGGAGATTGTCTGCCAGAAAATAAACAGTATGCTTCTGAAAAGACCAACTACTTACGCCTCATAACAACTGCAATTATGCAAAAACTGAGGGCCAAATCCATCTCTGATGATGTCAGCGGAATAAAGGCAGAACCTGTGGAATCATAGCTGTATGGTATGAAACTATTTAATACAGTATCCTTATAGAAAATAAAATAGTTTTAAAATCCTCTTGACATAACAGACAGCTATACACCTAAGATATTCAAACGTTTGCAGAGCTGCAGAAACATTCAAATAGAAGTTGTATAAAAAGCAAAAATTGTCATTAAGAAATTTAGTCATTTGTACAAAGTAATGTTCTTTCCCTTCAATCTGCTCTTCTTCCGTTTTCATTTCATAAGTTAAATTTAAAAATTAGTCAACACACTGAATTAAGTATGTAGATTTTCATTTAAATAAATCAGTCAACAATTTTTTTTTATAAAGTATTTAACACTTCATTGTAGAAACATAGGCAAAATGACTATTATAACCAAAATGAAAAATACTGTTCAATTTAAAAAAATGTACTTAAACAAGAACCTGAAAAAGTTTATGATATGCATAACATTGTTCAAGCAAAATTGCACTAGTATTACATAAATCAAGAGTTTTATAAAGGCCCCAATATGGCAAAGTTTAGAAATAGGTAGTATGCATGCACAATAGTACAACAAAAATCTTTTATAAAACAGCAGTTATTTTTGTAATGTTTGTACAAAGGGAATAAAGAGCAACCACAAACATATTTAATCTGTTAGGTTAATATAGTATGATAGCTAAAAGTCAGTCATGTCTAGTAGAGGAAGGAAGAGTCCTCCACAATATATGTGTGAATAAGTCTTTTGTGCCTTTAAAGATATGTATAAAATATTTCGATTCAGTTCAAACCTGAAAGAAATTGTATTCTTTATTTCCATCAAAATAAAAAAAAAAAAAGCAAGTCAGATTTTTCCTCTTAGCAACAACAGAAAGCAGAACAGGTCAGAGCAAGTGCTGGAAACTGATGCTTTTCACTTTCAATAATTGGATTTTGATATTTAACCCAGACCAGTGAAACTCGGGCTTAGGTAAGGTTTCACAAATATGTAATTTGGTTACGTTTTACCTCTGCAATACCACAGTTTATCTTAATTTAAAGAAACTGCTGTGTTTTGTATGTTTTAGTATCTCTAAACAGGTACGACTTTTTTTGTGATTGTCAAAACTGAATGCTGTGATCATCTGTGTGCTTAAGGTTTGGGGTTTGGTTTTTTTTTTTTCCCCTACTGCTTGGTATGTGTTGGGGAATTATTAATCCATAAGTACTGCATGTGATTAAGTGAATAAACATATAATGCATGTGTAGGCAATGCCCTCTTGTGCTCTAGGGTGGCTACTGTCCTAACAGGACTGTTGGAGTTCATATGCTTTGTCCCACAGCAAGTAAGGTTTCAGCTTCCAAGATATATCGTTACTATGTTCTATAAGGTTTTAATAAATACAAAGCTTGTTTACATGGTATATATGTTTAGTATATCATGTACAGTCACTGAATTTCTGAAACATAATCATTGTGTTCATGCAGATCATTAGATGTTTCACTTCTATAGTCTTGTTTACTTCTTGGCAACCTAAAGCTAATTTAAAAGCAAGTTGTGTTTGTTTGTGAAAAGTTATCTAGCTTTATCAGGATCTGAAGAGAGATTCTAATGGGCACAAAGAAGAGAGTAGACCATTCAATCATTCTTTCACCATTTAAAATAAACAAAATTACACACTGTACTACAGCTTCCAGACTACATAATGAAAAAGTGCAGATACCATCTTCATCGATTAAGTAGAACCAAAAAAGTTCATAGAAAATAGATTGCTCATTTTCACGCTACAAACGAATATGTTGTTTGCAATTTTAACAAATTTAAAGGTGTGTTATTTCAGCAGCATTGTTGTAAATTGTACCGTAGTGCAGTTTCTTTTTCATAAAAATACCTTACAAATGGTCAGTCAAAAGTCATCAGCAAAAGAAAAACCCAGAAAACAATCAACCAAACAAAAAACAGAGGTAATGCTGATGCCAAAACAATTATAATACTGTTGGTACATAGAAAAGTAATCCTTATATTTTATACATTTATACAGAGTATAAAAGGTAACAGCAGATTATGCCACAGTCTCCCTTATCCCAATATCTATTTTCTTTGGAAGGAGTTCTCTTCTTTCATCAACACTTGCTAAGGAGTTTCGACAGTTTTGTCCATCCATGTATAACTTTGCATATACTGGATTGGCGTAATTTGTTGTCTGCAGAAAAATTAAGCATACATTAGATCAGTAGGATGAAAACAAAATAAACGTTTATGGAAATGGAAATGGCTTTGTTAACGCAAGAACAAGTACACACAAAATAGAATTGGACATACTTAATAGATACCTGGACTTCTGCAAACCTGATAATGAGTTAATTATTTAGTTAAAAATTAAATTCATGATGAGACATGCTATTAAAATAATCAATGACATGACATGCAGCATATTATGATATTAAAACCATAAAAACAATAACAAAAAAAATAAAACAAAAACCTTGAAAAATGTCTCTGGAGTTGACTTGTCCACCTTATTACACTGGAAGATTTCAGAATAGATATGAAGTTTATAGAGAAGGTGCACTGTGAGACCATGTGACAAGTTTAACAGTAGAAAACTGCAGTCAACAGTTTCCATATATTACCTGTTCTAAGACATCAGCATCCCATCAATAGCTGACCATGTTTTCGAATTCTGTGGCCCAAATATACAACATGATTTGACCAAAAATTCAATACTTTCGTAATGTAAATTAAACTTTAATAATAAACCAGCATAACTGTTAATATATCATAGTAGTTACAGATTGAGAAGTATTTTGTCAACGATTTTGGTAGTTTGGACTGTAACGAAAAGATCTATTGCAATGAGTGGTACTTCAGTATAGGACAAGTCCATTTTTAATTCTGCAAATTACTTTGGTATATGAGAAATCTCCTGAGTCTGACAGTACAGAAGGATGTCTTACACAGATGAAAACTTACTCTCCTATCACTCATGCTACAGAGAAATCACTATCCGAGTCTTATCACGTAAATGTCTCCACTAATTCCTTCATATTTTGGGCCTTTATTGTCTCCTAAAAGACCCTTGCTATCCAATCAGATGTTGCACTTTTTATTTGTAAGAACTGAAAATGGTACCTATTGGTCAAAATATTCCTGTTATAACTAATGGAACAGCACAGCTTTGCCTACCCAAATACTGAGTGGAACACCAGTAAGCTATAAAATGGGTAAATTAATGTGTTTGGTCTACGTAATAAGTGCCTAAACTTTAAATTACCCAAAACAGATGTGGGTAGGTTTTCTTGACTTGCAGGTACCCTGAGTACACTGTGGGTAACAAGGAATGAAAGATGTCTAAAATCTTAGTTCTTCCTTTCCCTGTTCATCAATAGGATTTCAGAGCCAAGGATTCAGATATTCCTTAGGCTGGCTGGCCACAGCAGCTACTAAGACAGTTAGTTAAAAGCTGCCTATTCCATCTATTATAGATAACACAGTGATTGCCTCATGTTTCAAACTTTCCTGGATTGAAGGCAGGAAAAAAGTGAGTCATATTCATTTAAAAGAAAGAAAGAAGCAGCTACTGTTCTATATTAATGGAACCTAAATATGCAATCAACTGCTGCAGTAATTTATGAGAGCAAACTCAGTTATACCTGTCTGTCCCCATTGAATTAGAAATATTTACATTTGTTGTAATGATTATAATGAGAATTTTAGGAAAACAGAAATTTAGTTTTATTTCAATTGACAGGACTTTTTATTCCCTTGACAGTAACTATTAAGGACGATAACCAGAACAGAGCTACTTGGTATCTATATAAAGCCTTACGGAGTTATTAAAACTACGTATAATAGTAGGCTTTGTCTCATGATACCTCTTTGAGTGGGTACTGATAGCATAATGCAGTACAGTGAGGTACAGAAAGTAACTGGGGTGACTTGAAATCAGAAACAGTTCATGTTAGAGGTGGGCATATATTCTAGCTTTCATCATCCCTAGTTTTGTGTTCTATCAGAAATATCGTGCCTTATACAAATTGTTAAATTTGCAAATACAACATAGTACAATCATGCAAGAATGCAAATGGCACAAGAGATGAATATATACACTGAGGCACATGAAAATGAATGTCATACTGATGACCCTTTCAATATATTAACTTCCAATATTTGCAAACATGCTAAATTGCAGTCAAAATCTGATGTTTTAGAAGTAACTATTTTATGACAAAAATGTATAAGAAGCTGAACAATCAAAAAATACATTGCAAATAGTAAAGGAAATCGTTCATTTTAGTGTGTATCCAATTCCTCTAAAATTAATGGACTTGTTTCCATGTATTTGGGAACTTTTTTCAGTGTGATAAACTTTACCAGATGCCTGTAATTACATATAAATTGAAAACCGATCAAGGTAACGGCTGAGAATGCTATGCTAAACTTATACAATGCTATGGAAAAACATCACATTGCTTACTGCTTTTGCATTCCTCTGCATTTAGATCATGTCACAATGATGGGTACAGATGAAATTTTGTATGCAGAGAAGAACCCTTTATGTCAAATAGAGAATATAGTATTTACTGTCATTCTTCTTTCCATTAAAAGAAGAAAAAAAAATTAAAATCAAGCAGAAAATGGCTCTATTCAAAAATGACAGACAAACTTTCTTTCTAAGGGGCTGTGGTGGAATGAAATGGATTTGAATCGTCATTTCTCACCCCTGTTGACAGTGGTCCTTTCAAGTCAGAGTTTAGGTAGATTGATGGAGCTGTGTGTGGAAGCTTGAATGCAGTGGGCCCTCCCCCTATGTATCTGGCCTGTATAAATAGAAAGTTTTAGTTTCTGTGCTAATAGAGCATTTTCCATGTGAACTGATCAACACTGTTAAATAAGCAGTGCACCGGTTAAAGACGACATTTTAGAGTGCTCTACAGTTTTTAAAAAAATCTACTTACAGGTATTCTTCAGCATGAAAAAAACCTCACAGCTAATACGAGAATAAAATTCAGCATTTTAAAGTCATTTTCTGTTAAGGCTTAGAGCCAGACTTCACAATAAGCATTGGCTCAGTTACTCTTCCTCCAGTGAGTAACTCCATTTTCAGCTTACCTCTTGTATTCAGCACACTGACTATGTGATTCAGCGATGACATTCCTAGAGCTAAAAGTAATCCGGTTATTGCTTTGTCAGAAATGCCACAGAATGATGGCTGCCCTTTGGTGTATGTCTGATTACGGAGCTCTAGGAAAGATATCGCAGCATTACCCTGCTCATCCCATGTCACATCACTCAGGTAGTTCAATCACTGAAGAGTGGTGCTGCAGAAGTGACAGCATCTTTTACAAGAAAATGATAATACTTACTAGCTTTGTGTAAACATTTAATCTATCTATCCAGCCAGGACGCTGAATTCTTTATGCCTCTGGAAGTTTTCATATACGAAATAAGTTAGTCTCATATGTATGCATATACTCTTTCACGCTTCAAATGGTAGACTGTACAGTAATATATTTTCATTCAGTATTTGCAAATAGACTAAAAAGACTGGCAACTTGTGTTGTTGTGATTTGGCAACTTAAGGCAGATGTGTCTATGACCAAAAAAAAAAAACACTTTAGTTCTAACTCTGTTTTGGTAAATTGCAGGCACTAGGAAAAATGCCCATCAGCAAGCATCAGACTGCAAAACAGCTGTTAATATATACATGACATTTATTCTAATGAAATCTAACTTGCCTTTACACTCATTATCTGAATCTAAATGTCATTTTTTATGTTTCTATTAATTACATTTAAAGTCAAAACCTTTGTAAGACATAAAATAAGCAGTGGTTTTGTCACTAGAAAAAGAAAAGAAAAATTACCTTTTCTGCATTTACAGTAAAATCTGAGGCTAAAAGACCACCTTCACTGTGATCATGGCCCACCTCGTACATGTTATATGATGGATTGCCAATTTCTACATTGATTCCTCCGTTTATAATGGGTTGTCTTCTGATAGTTTTTGTCCTATAATGCATAAACACAAAAAGAGAAGCTAGTGACTATTCAAGTACTTCCTCTGATGCTCCATCCTGAAACAGTACAAATCTTATTCTATTTCTTTTTAATCATTAAGATCAACAGGCTGAAAAAGTGTTTGCTGCAGAAACAATCAGAAAATCTTTCATTTTTTCAAACAAAGTAGCAATCTGAGTCTATGTGTAGATCTCATGTAAGATGGAAGTGTCTTTTTATTGTTTTTTCTCGGTCTGGCTGGAGTGGTATGAATTCATACAATGAGCTAACTCCTTGCCTGTTACTCTGGTCTCTCCTATTATTTCCAGATTTCCCCCACTTCCCACAGAAAGCTTTGCAAATTCATTGTAGATTCCCTGCAGTAATGAAGATGGAATGAACATGAGTCATGTTCCCTTCTTCATCCATTTCACTTCCATCTGAAATTGGTTGCCCAAAGTCAGTTGTAATCTGAGGACAAGCAAATGGTTTCATTACAACGCATTAAAAATATATGAACTTCTCATAGTTGCAGGTTGTATTCCCTGCAGGCGGTTATTGGAAAGCTGAAGTTAGTTCAACTTGAATTTTTTCAAACTTTAATAAAAGATAGAATCTTATTTTTAACCTTGAATTAGATATCAGTAAAGATAAGTGATTGAGTTGAATTGTTTTAGCTGCTGAATTCATTTCTTTTAGCTAAGGAGGTGCTTTTAGTCTCAGCAATTGAAATAACCTCAAGAGGGTAATTTTCCCCAGTGCAATATGTTCTCTAGAATTACAAGAAAATAATAGGGAGGTCACAGTCAGGATGATAAAAGTCAAATCCTCTTGTTTGGTTGAGAAAGATGCAGTCAGTGCCTGAAATCCAATACACTAAAGGATCTGTATTTTTCAGAAGCGACATAGAAAAAATATTTCCTAAAATAAGCACTTATCTGTAGCGTACAAGTCTTGAACATCTATACCTAGTTTAATACTTGACAGTCTTCTCTGACAAGATTAAAAAAAAATCCCTAAAATACATTTCCAAATATAATTTTAAGAAAAAAAAAAAATCCCCTTGTTGAGTTTACTTCTACTTCTCTACTGAAGTTCTATTATTTAACAAGTTATTCTCAATAACTTAAAATATTTACAGACCTGCAACTGGTTCGTAGGATTTGGCTATCACTAAACTTGTTTTTAGGTACAGCAGCACATAATGACATCTATGGTGACTGACAGGGTCAGCATTACCAACAGTATGGTCGGGGAATGTATTTATCTTGTTGACTTTTCAAAAAGGATTTAAAAATGAATGTTTACTAGTTATTGCCAGAGTTTGATATGTATGATGCTAGATGATAGCGACTTAAAAGATTCTTTTAGTCTGGAGGACTGAAACAGTCTCAAATAGTCACATTTGCAGAAACAGTCGATTAATCTCAAATTTCTAAAGGACTTTGCTAAAGACAATGTTACCTTGGTTTCAGAGGTGGAGGAACAAGCCCCAGGAGAAAATAACACAGCTGCTCAAGACCAACCAGTAGGCCAACTACAGGCCTAAAGTAAATGATTTGCTGCCTGACTCCCACTCCAGGTCTTCCCTAGTTGGCCACGTCCTTATGACTAGACATCTTCCCTTGTCAAATCTGCATCACTACTAGCATCAGTTTATTGTTTCTCTGAATACGAGAAAGTTAACAGCTGTCTCGGGTGTCTGCATACGGTAGAAACACTCTTGCCCTGCCAGCCAACATGGCCCCAGAAGAATTGCCAAAGTCAAAATGCCTACTATAGTCCTTAAGTTCATTATCAGCTCTAAGGAAGTTAAATTCAAGAGAAAAACAAAAGAAAGCAAAAAAACATTCACTGTTCAGGGCTGGAATTTGGCTTTCTATGCAAGACACTAAGTGCAAGGTGTCCCTGCTCATGGCAGGGGGGTTGGAATTAGATGGCCTTTAAGATCCCTTCTAACCTAAACCATTCTATGGTTCTAAAGAAACACAGTAATGACGACAGGACTTGGGACTCTACAGTAGATACTTTGAACATTTATTACATCTTCACTATAACTTACATAAGATTGAAAAAAACTAATCCAAGTAAATAAATTGAACTGTTTCGTAGAGGCTCTATCTGATAGTATTTATAGACACGAACAATATTAATTATGTGGTTCCAATAAAATACATTAATTCTGTTTACTAAGTTCACTAAGTCTCTAGATAAAATTATTAACATTTATACAGCCTTTGCAGGATTGAGCGAACTAGGTAAGAACATTTTCTTATCTAGTGTATGTGGAATATAAGTATAAATAATAGACATGATTGTTCCAGCAAGAACCAAAATGGAACTATGTCTCTGCATCCAGAAATAAGTTTTGGGCTGAGTGGTGTGGGTTTTTTTTTTAATGTCTGCTCAACATATATAAAGTGAAACTTTTATATCAAAAAGATGCAAATACTTTAAAGATGTACTTTTTTACTTCACACATCAATATACAATTACTTACCTTCGTTTCCTTTTGCAAAGAAATAGTCCAATTACCAGAGTAGTGATCAAAGTTACCAGTAAAACAAGAGGAACAATGATTGCGATGCTTCCTGAAACAGGAAAAGGACATATCATTAAATAATCACAGCTACATCTAATAATTTCTTCAGAGATGTAAAACATTTGAATTAATTACAAAAAGAATGCTTTCCCTCACCACAAATGCAATTTCATGTGATGAGCTTCAATGTTTTGAGATTTTTTTTTTTTTATATTGATGCTGATCAATTAAAAAAATATCATTAGAGATAATGGTGTATACACAAGCACTTTTATCAAGAAATCAGGAGCTTCCTCCTTCTGGACAACAATATACTTTCAACTAATTCTCTGCCCGCATTTGCACTGATACTGTATAAAGGTGCACGGAATGGCTGAAAAATTTGGATTGGAGTGGCATGGCCACTGACTTTAACTGCCACCATCAGCTTCAGTAGTTTAGTTAAACCACACAGCTATTAATTTAAGATATTCAGTAGGCATGGCTCTGATTGAATAATTCCAGTATTAGCATTTATATGTATTTATTTCTTTTATTTGTGGAAAAATGAAATATAGTAAGGAAAATTCATTTCTAGATAGTTGGTGCATCCCTGCATTTTACTGCATTATACTCAAGAGCCAATAATTTTGTTATGTTGATACAGGCAATCATAGAAACTACAATAATGCTTAATGTAGCAGAAAAACAGTACACAGATCAGATGATGTTGAAGGAGAGGAGGGAACAGGGAAGACAAAAATGGGCTTAACGTTATTTTGGCAGATAACTTCACTGAAATGAGACTACCTGCAAAAATGTCAGCAACTGTACTCTTCTAAGAATTTCTCAGCTTTAATGTAAGCTGGCAATAAAGAAATACATGAAAAATAACTTCATGTTATAAAAATTGGTCTGTAGAAACTACAGGGCTCCAGGATAAAGCCAACGTGGAATGACATGTGTTTCCTTTAATACCACAATCCTTAACTGGTGGAAAACAAAAATAATGCTGGTTGCTTCAATGGTTACATTCATTGATTTATTAGAAGAACAAGTGGTTGGCAGTCTCTGCTCTACATTAAACACAGACTACATTAAAAATTGAGAAAGATGCTTTGAATTCTGCTGGAAGGCTTACTGAAAGCCAAGCCAGGCCCAAAATGAAGTACTACTGAATAAAAAATTGAATCATCCCGAGTTCACTTCAGCACATGAAGATTCAGCATGTAAAGGACATTACAACATGCTGCAGCCTGGGGTGTAGGAGCAGGCACGAGACAAATACTCATTTCCCAAATCATAGCAGGTATTCCCTCAACATGAAATACTGATCTAGGTTCTGGCTGCTTTTTTGCCCGTTTCCAGCTTGCAAGTGTTATTTCACTTGTCTGGATCTCTAGGAAGATTTCATCTAAGCATCAAGCTGACTTGAATAGTGGGCGATTCATTTTACTGCTCCGGTTGGGTTAAATGTGACCGAGAGATGTGCAGCAGGGTATGCCATCAGCATACTCAATGCACCGCAGGGAATCCTGTCCAGTTTAAACTGCCAATAGTGTAGCAATACCATCCTTTTATGCTTACAGACATATCTTTAAAAAAATACGACAGGAACTATTCTTACTTTCAGGATGATTTTCACAGTAGGTAAAATTCAAACCTCTGCAGACAGCCAATGCAAAAGTTATGAACTACTTACAACTCTATTTTTGATGCTTTCAACAGGACTTAAATGGTCAGAGGTCTCGTACTAGTTCTCTGCACAGCAGTGATATCACCAAGCACTTGCCACTTGATACACTTTCTTTAAGAAAAGTGCAGGCTAGCCCTTGAAGCAGTGAGTGTATAACATATGGCTTGCACCCAAACCACCTCATAAAACACAATGTCAATCAAAAAGTTAAGAGATAGCTACCTTTTTTTTTTTTTCCTTTCTTCAATACAGGTAACCAGCACATTTCATGACACAAATTCATATTCTAATATATCACCAGGTTAAAATTTCTAAATTGAGCCCCATTTGACAAGTAATAGCAGTTATTTGAAGCACTTACTTGTACTGATATTGTCAGACTTGCTGCTTTTGGGAGCTGGCCTCTCACACTGTGTGCCTGACCAGTTGGCTGAACATCTAAAAGGATCCAATTAAGATAGTAAAGTTAATAGATGCCAGCTGTTAACACACTAACGTATTAAAGAGAGCACCACAATCTTCCAGGATCTACACGAACGACAACAGTGATTCTACAAAATAAGCACTACGCTCTGTGGGAGGAGTCAGCAGCACTCTGCTATGGCACTTACAACACTATTTTTGGTTTAAAACTACAGCTTTGTATCTTCAATTCCTGCTATTATCTCTGCAATCTTCATTCCAGAGTATTTTTCTAAAATTCTTGAATAATAAAACCACAGTCATATCAGTGTCGTATTAAACCAAACACCACCTACAGTGGAATAGGAACACTTGAGCTGGATCCACACGCTGCCAACTTAGTCCAGCATGGATTATTTTCTAAGGCACTTCATTTGCACCATATTGTTTTAGGGTCAGCTTTGATCTAGAAGCTCTTTCAGCCACGTGTATATGGCACAAAGCATATCTGACTGGACATAAGCTACTGCACGCATCCAGTAACACGCAGTATCCATACCAATTGGCTCCTTCCACAGTTCTGCTGTCCCACATTGCTGGGATAAGTTCACTCTAGAATAGTTCCTACAGGGCTGATTGTAATAATTTACTTGAACAATTAAGATCTATCTTTGAGTAATATTCACAAATTAACTGAAGTTCACCTTTTCTTTGCTTTCAGATTTTCCTGAAAATTCTACCATTTAATGGCTTTATCTTTTTAAATTTTGCACTATATAAATACATGTGTATTTGCAGAAATACATAGGCATGTATGTGTGTAAGGAGTTACGAGAGTTAAAGCATAATATCTACTGGCTTCAGAGGGCCCTGAATACTGTTTTAAGTTCAGAATACACGCTTCATGAGCCAGGTTCCTGGCTGACCATGCCGTTAGTCTGCTATCATTCCTCATGTGATTATCAATACGCAAATATTTCTTCAGTTGGGATTCAGAATGCTCTCCCTGCACACAAGCAAACAAGGGGTCCATGTATGCAGATGCAGCAAATACACCAAAAATCGAAGCAAATACCTGAATGAAATTCAATTGATTATTCATCCTGCTGTAAACATGATGAAGTTTACTACAGAACCTCAAACTCTCCTTGGGGAAATGGCAGGAAGCAGTCACTTTTCATCTGCCTCTGTTGCATATTATGCAATGAATCATATTTCTGCCAAGAATTTTTGAATTAGGAATTTCAGTGTGGATTATCTTTAGGAAAATACAATAGAGCATTACCTTGCACTCAGTTCTAAGAAATACTGTTATCTGATGCCTTTCTAAGGATTTATCAAATTGCAGAGCTTAGAGGTGGACATGTTTAACAACTGACAACGTTCTATGATATGTAAAGATTTTTAAAGGTACATGGTGTTCCAGACAAAAATTGTGGTGCACCCTAGCCATCTTTGCTGGTGATGCTTTTGAATCTCTTGTGTTTGCAGATCACTGCAAATGAATGGCTAGTTTCTCCCTTTGCTCCTAGGCCTATTCAGACACAACCCAACATTCTGATAAATCTCTTCACTGGGTTTCACACTAAGTTTGAACTGGTTTTGAGCAGCTAAAAGCATGTTTATTAATTGATAGCTGATTCAAAAAGTTTCACACAATAGATTAATCACATTATAATTTAGAAGTTTTACATGTTTACTGAAATGTTTGTTTACTTAAATAAACATAGCAAATACACACAAATTTCCTCACTATAAAGGAACTGCCCAATTACTAATTAATTACACACATTATGGTTCACAACGATTTATTTTAAACTGAACCCAACTGATATTTCCACTCCTGCTTACCAACACTTTACCACATTTTAAGTCACAAAGAGCACATTATTCAAATCTTTCAAAAGATGCATCTGTTCCATTACCTTACAGATGTCTTTTTTAGGAATTATATTAAATGAAAATGATTACACTGACAGCCTAACTTACTAAGATACTATTCAAGGAACTTTAAAAAAAAAAAAAATCACTATTCCACATAAGGCTGCAAAATAATTATCTCCATTCCTGTAGAGAAACACCATAAATCTTTATACTTAGAATATTCTACTGGGATCCAAACTGTTGGCATGTGACTACCATGAAATAAAGTCTTTATATTTCTTACTGGGATTTTTGCATCATTGCTGTCAGAGATTCAGCTCATGTGATTAAATCTTGTTATGAGAGGCAATTTTCATTTAATACCACAATACTGAAAGGGAAAGATTTCTTTGAGAGCTAGACATATCTTAATTTTGTACCTAGGTTTCAAACACTCCTGCTGTATGAGAGAACCATTACTATATATCTGTCTTCAAACAGTTTAAAGAAGATAGTGAGACAAGGAAAAGAATCACTATGAAGCATGCAAGAATAAGCTTATGACAAAATTGTGTGTAATGTACAATTATGCTCTTCAGAACCTTTCAGCAGATATGACACCACAACAGCTGGTGAAGAAATAAATCCTACAGCAATAGATGTAGCAAACAGGAACAAATTAAGGCAAAAATATTAGCAGTTCCTTAGCTATCTTGGCACTATATCTGTAAAAGTCAGCAATATTGAAACAATTCTGAGGCATTTGATAAAAGTCTCATAAAAACACGATAGCTAGTTGCCACCTTATTTTCATTTTTTCCAATGCTTGCTGTCTCCAATAAATTTCAAAGACACTGAAGCTGACACGACGACAGTCATTTCCTTCTATACGCAGTGGTAAAATGAGTGCCCTTTTATGGTCCAGCATGCTAGTAAAGACTTGTCTTGGGCAGACAGAACATAGTGAGCAAGCCCAGGGGAAAGGTATGGTGCCTGCAAGGGAATCTGACCCAGAAAATTAGCAATGAGCAGGAACATGAATGATGATGGTGGTGGGACATGCACAACTGTTTATATAGGAAATGAGCAGGTCTTAACGAGTTTCAATT